TATATTGTTAATGTTATGTGTATAAAGTTAATTGAAAATAGATTTTAATAAAAAATAAGAATGGGAATAGGAGATGGAGGAAGGAGAAGGGTGGGAATGGGGGTGGGAGTGGGGGTGGGAGGCCGGATAGGGTGGGAAGAATCACTATGTTCCTAAATTTGTATTTATGAAATGCATGAAGTTTGTATTCCTTAAGTAAAAGGTTTCTGGGTTAAAAAAATAGATAATTTTCCAGCCCCAAATGTCATTATTTCACTCAACTAAAAATGTACTGGTGTGTACATGTTTTATTGAGATGTGTAAGTTTAAGGAAGACAAGAAAAGAGGCAAAATACTTAGTTGACTCTGTGTAATTGTCTTTATGCTTCATAACTGTGAATCTTGCAACCTGGTTGGGGTAGTATAATTATGTAGCCAACAGGGAAAGTTAAAGATAATGATTAAGAGTTCAAATTTGAGGGCTGGTGCTGTGGTGCAGTGGGTCAAAGTCCCAGCCTGCAGAGCCAGCATCCCATATGGGCACTGGTTCCAGTCCCAGCTACTCTTCTTCCTATCCAACTCTCTGCTAATGGCCTGGGGAAGCAGTAGCGGATGGCCCAAGTCCTTGGGCCCCTGCACCTGCATGGGAGACCTGGAGGAATCTCCTGGCTCCTGGCTTCGGATTGGCTTAGTTCTGGCCATTGCGGTCATTTGGGGAGTGAACCAGCGGAATGGAAGACCTCTCTCTCTGACTCTACCTCTCTTTGTTACTCTGTTTTTCAAATAAAAAAATAATTCTTTAAAAAAATGAAAAAAAAAAGAGTTCAAATTTGAGTAAGATAAAGGCTCAAGTTTAAGTTCTAGTTCTGACATTTACTAACTGTATGACCTTGGGCATCCTTACTTAATCTTTGGGCCTCATGTATCTGTCTGTAAAATGGGAATAATTATGATACTCAGCGAGTTGTTATGAGGATTGAATAAATTGACACATGTAAAGCACTTAGCATTAGCACAATACATAGTCGTCAATAAGATGTTTGTGGTCAGAACAGATAAGAAAATTATGAACAGTATGAAAAATTCAATCAGGAAATGAAGAAACTAGTTGAATATGATTAAGTGGTATGGAAAAATTGGCTATAATTTAGGTAGAGTTGCAGAAATCATCTACCCAAATGAAGAGACACAATTTTTTTTAAACAGGTTTATTTATTTATTTGAAAGAGTTATATAGAGAGAAGGAGACACAGAGAGAGAGAGACATCTTTCATTTACTGGTTCAGCCCCCAGATGGCTGCAATTACCAGTGCTGGGCCAGGCAAAAGCCAGGAGGCAGGAGCTTCTTCCCGGTCTCCCATGTGGGTGGCAGGGGCACAAGTACTTGGCCATCTTTCACTGCTTTCCCAGGTCATTAGCAGAGAGCAGGATCAGAAGCGGAGCAATTAGGACATGAACTGGTGGCCATATGGATGGTGACATTGCAGATGGAGACTTTACCTGTTATGCCACAACACTGGCTCCAGAGACATAATTTTGGAATGAATTTTAATTTAAAAAAAGAAAAGTAATGGTAAGGATGCCCACTGGATTGCAAAATTAAACTCCAACTGAAAGATGTGGTCTTGGTGAAGAAGGGGTTCTCCTTGGGCACAAAACAGCATTTGACTCAAAGGCAGAGTGCTAGATCATCATCATGTTTGGCTTCAGGAATTATCCAGGTAGTATGTAGGGTGCATGTATCATATGCTGGAGTAGATCCTCTAAATGACAAATAATGATATTGTAACTTAGCCTAAGATGGTGAATCTGCTAATTAGTTGGGTGATGTTTCAAAGCCTGGGTCATGTTACAGAAATAGAGATAAATGAAGTTAATCAAATTCATAGCTTTAACATTTTGATGTGGTTTAGGAGTAAGTTTTGTAATGATTTGGATATTTTGTGTCTATTTTAAAGTGTTTTAAATAAATATGGTATATTAATTTTATTATAATTTGAAGTGTGTAATAGCATTAGATTTTTCTTTTAATTTAATTTATTTTGAGAGGCACACAGAGACACAGAGAGTTTCATATACCTAGAGAGAGGGAGCTGCTATCTGCTAGTTCACTCTCCACATGCTTTCAATGGCTGGGTCTGGGCCAGGTGGAAGCTGAGATCTGGGAATGCAAACCAAATCTCTCATGTGGCTGGAAGAAACCCAGTTACCTCAGCCATCACTGTATCTTAACTGCTAGGTTAACTGCCCAACTCATATTAAATTTAAAGGTGTAGCAGACTTGTATTGTTTGTAAAATGGCAATGGAATATTTATGGTAACCCAGTTTACTATATTTTATATAAATTTGATCTGTTTAGAGTTTCTTAAGATCATTGGGAGATTTTTTTTTTTTTAGGTTTGTAGGTCTGTATTTGCATTTACATTTAAATTTACATTTTCCAAATATTTAATTAATTAAAATCCAATTACCTTGGAGTAGTCTTTTCAGTGTACAAGGTTCCTACAAGCATCTGAAAGCTCAGAAGACTTTAGCAGGACTCAACTGGTAGTAGTTATAATTAATAGCAAATCCTGCTTCCTTTTGTTCCCTTGAATTATTGCAGTAAAACCTGATGTGTGCCCGGCGTCGTGGCTCAATAGGCTAATTCTCTGCCTAGCGGCGTCGGCACACTGGGTTCTAGTCCCGGTAGGGGCACCGGATTCTGTCCCAGTTGCCCCTCTTCCAGGCCAGCTCTCTGCTATGGCCTGGGAGTGCAGTGGAGGATGGCCCAAGTGCTTGGGCCCTGCACCCCATGGGAGACCAGGAGAAGCACCTGGCTCCTGCCTTTGGATCAGCGCGGTGCGCCGGCTGCAGCACACCAGCCGTGGCGGCCATTGGAGGGTGAACCAACGGCAAAAGGAAGACCTTTCTCTCTGTCTCTCTCTCTCTCACTGTCCACTCTGCCTGTCAAAAAACAAACAAACAAACAAACAAAAAACCCTGATGTGTATGTGTTTCCTGAGATCTTGAGGGTCCTGATTAGCTGGGGGTAGGGATTACTCCAAAAAACAAAACAATACTTTTCTTGAGTCAATAATTTTATTACTATTATTTTTTCATACCAAGAAGACTTGGTTACATAATGTGATATTCTATGAGTTGATTATCAGTAGTATAAGCACAAAAGAGTGAACAATGGAACATGAAGAAACACCCTTTATCAGAGTAAAGTTCATGTGACATAAATACATTACCCCAAATAACCTATGTACAAATAAATATAGCTTTCAGTTTATGTACAGACATATTCACAGAGAATAAACTGACAGAGTATCGCCACACTCAAAGATCTCATCATCCAGTGAAAATTACTCATAATCAACATGACACAACAAAATGACAGAAATAATTTGGAAGTTCATCCACTGGATTCATGGAGAGATAAAGACTGGAATTAAAATGTTTCTTTAAAATGGAGGCTAACAAGGAAGCATGAGATCATGTCTATCCCCAGAAAGATCCATTACAAAAATGGCATCCTGATATTTTAACATAACCCAGACAAAAAATAGTTTTCATGTTTTAGGGTTAATGTCTATGTTGGAGTCAATGTTGACAACAGTTCCTCTGTTTTAAAAATATGCAAAGTACCAAAGTATAATTTGTCTTTTCTATAGTGCTAGCAATTGATCAATAGATGAGTTAAAAGGGATACTTGAGATTGGTGCTACATTTTGCAACTTCTTTAAATTAGGAAAGTAGTTTTTTTTTACTCTGATTTCTGAGAGTTCTTTGAGTCTGCAGATTGGTTGAAGATGGAAGTTGTTTCTTCTGGAGTCCTACTCCCCAAAATTTAGATTTGGCTCTGCCCCAAAATCCAAGAAGAAGAAACATCAAGATTAGATGTAAAGTATGTATGTGGACTTGATGAGTAAGGTTAAACAGGGCAGTACACTAACAGAGGCTCCTCTGCTGAATGGAGAGTCTCCGGCCCTTCTCTGGGGCTATTTAAGCAAAAAATTGATGGGATTGTCCATTTTAATATATAAATTTACTTTGATAATTTAGGTCCCAGTTATGGTAGACATTTCTATTAAGTAAGTACCTTTTATTCATTTTTTTTAGCTTCTAGTCAAATTACATACGAAGTTGTAGTGAAGTTTTTAGTTATAGGGACATCTGTGTGTGCACTATGTGCAAACAGTCTACCATATGGGGTCAGAAATTGTGCATTTTAGCAGAAAGGGGGAAAATCACCAATGCACTATGAAATTTGTTTTATCTTCCCAAGGAGGGTAAATAATTTAGGCATAAGAAATTACTGATAAGTTGTTTACTTCAATTTGCCATTTTTATAAGGGAACTTCTTAGACTCACCTATATTTATATAAAACTCAAACACATTCTCAATTTCCCAGGTGTACGTTTGCTAATTAACAATTTCACTCTTCATGTGGGTGAACTTTGCTCTATATAACAAATGTATTCCTGAAAAACAGTTAATTTGCAACTATAAAAAGGAAATATTTTCAATGTAGTATTAGAACTTGTGATGTATAAGAACTGTGTAATAAGCAATTTTGAAAATGAATGTTTTTGTTAAATGAATAATGTCTTTGCTTTTCAAAATTTTATTAAAGTATACATCTAAAATTCATAAGTAGATTAGGATTGTCTAGAACAATAATTGTAGGTAATAAAAAATAGAACAGATAAACTCCAGTTTACAACAAACAATACAAAACAGGAATGACTCATGGACTGCTTACTGACTGACTATATTCAGAAGCCCTGAATATATGTATTATTGGTATTTTATGGCTTTAATTAAGACAGTTGTCTTATGAAGTACTATAAAGTGCAATATTAAAAAATTAAAAAACCCAAAAGGCATCCTTTATCCTTCAGTTGTATTCTGATGAGAAGAATTGGAGATTCATTTAATTAAATGGCAAGAAGCTATCTACCCTTAATTCATACATGTAATTTTTTCCTTAAAATGATTTTATTTAGGGACTCAGACTTCTTTCACTTTTCATTTGTTTTTGGAGAAATGATTTTGGTTAGCTGAGTGTTTTAGAGAACCATTAGTCCTCAAGGCCTTAGTTACTTACGGATCCATTGTGAAGAAATAGGCAACCAAATGTGTTAGAATGCAGGAACATATTCTTATCTTGTTGGCAAAACATTTTCTTAGGCCAGGACCTTGATCAGCAATATTACAATTCCTATGCAGCCTATCACACAAAGAGGGGAACACTGCAATACTTGAAGATAAGAAGGTCCACCCATTTCACTTTATGTAAAAGGAAAATATTAATTCCTCTTGGTAAATTCATACAGATAAGCACAGTCCCAGAGTTTTGGGACTACTTAAAGTGGCATCTTCTCCTTTCTGAGTTATCTGTGAATATAGGATAAAGGCCTTGAAAATAGGGTTTGTGCATTGACTTTATGATAATGCTATGCTCACTGATCAGACTTTCATTGGAGGATCAGTGCCTATTGGCTAATTCAAGGCCTACAGATGCTCTTCAGGTATATATGCTATTCTACTTCCTTGTGGTTGTGAATTTTATGCACATTTCAGTAGCAGTTAGAAGGGATTCCCTCTAAGAAATAGTTAGTTCACAAACACAAGTTGTTGGGGTCAGGGGCCCAACATTTTTGAATATGCACACTAATGAGGAGTTGGAGAAAATGCTTGTTAAAACTTGGCAAGTACAAGTAAACAGGGAAGGTTGGTGGTGGGAACTATGCAGGAGAGTAAGCATTGAGTCCAATCTGGACTTGAAAACTGGAAGCGGATTAGAAGTAAACAGATTGAGACTCAATAAGGCCAAGTGGAGGGTGGCCCATAGTAGGCAGACAACTCTTCTGCAAATGCATTGGGGCCAGCTGAGAAATGCACTGGCTTCACCCAGAGGACTTGGAGGAAAGAAACAGGGGACACAGAGGACACAAAGTAAATGAATTAGCAATAAACTGTGTGACATTTTATAAGGTAATGGTAACAGAGGGGTTTATAAAATAGGAAGGAAGCATTAGTTTTGGGATTGTAATTCAGCACTGCACAGATGTTATACTTGTGTCATGATTGGTCATAAGGTTCCATAATTTAAGAACAGTAGAAAGCATAGTAAAGAAGAACTGTAAAAATTAAGAGGATTAAAAAAGACTGAAGTCAAAATCTAAAGATACTTTTGATTAAAATAGGTAAAGGGTTACATGGTAACCCTCCAACTATGTCATGGGTAAAGAGTGAAGAAGGCATATGTGCAGTTGTTTTCTGCCAAAAAGAAAAATAAATACATTGCCATTCAGTACAGGGGCTTGGGTTAACCTGCTGGGAGGCTTTTGTGATGGCTGCTCATTAAACACTAAAGGAGTCCCACCATCAACATTTCTGCTGAGATCCCTTTCCAATAAGAGGAATGTTATTTGGATCAGGGTGACAGGCTGAACAAACTCTCTCAGTGGAATTCAGTGTTTGGTGGAGCCATGCAGACTTGTGGTACTCTTTCATACTTAGGTATTTATCCATTTAAAAAAAATTCTTTAAGATTCTTCAGTTTGTCCATCAATCATCTAGTAAAATGCTTTGTCCAGTTAATAAGGTATAGCAGAAAGTCCTTCACTATCTGTAAGCTGATTTAAACTTGGTTGCCCATCCTGCCATAAAAGCAGGATAGTTTTTCTCTCTCAAAAACTAGTTATCTTGTGAATTCATTTGTGTTTTGTGTGTGTCTCTTCTGCTCTTTCTTAAGAAAACTGCACCAGCTAGACTAGAGACCTCAGTGGAGGTCGGGTAGTTCTGAGCAAGATAGATTCCATACACGGGGAGGCATGTGAAATGACAGTGTACATGTTGTTTGGGGGCTCTGGATGGAAAACGTGTTACTTCTATGTATAGCTAATATGCATGCATCTGTGATTTCTGGAGAGGTCCACGTCCTCTGGAAATGGCCTCCTATGGCCTGTGCAGTTCCAAAACTCTTAGTGAAGAGAAAGAAATATTGTGATTGTGTAATAATAAGTAATGGAGTTGAACTGGCTGTATCTCCTTTATTACTTTTCTTGTTTGCTGTAGATTTCAAGGATAATGAAGCCGCTAGATTAAAAAGAAACCTAAAGATACAGAGGCAAGGAGCTAAACTTAGATAGTGGAGGATGGATACTGTTACCTTGTTTCCCAAGGCCTTCTGAAGAAAGGATTCTCCTTTTATTGTTCTATGTGGGCTCTTGTAATTGCTTTAAAAATGCTTGATATTTTTAATAACCTTTAACAGCACAGGAATATGTTTCAATGGGATACTTGCTTTGTTGGGAATTTTAATAAAAGTAAATGAATTTCTCCTTGCTTCTTTTTCTTTATTCTTCTGTTTTTTCCCCCACTAACTCTCTCTTAATGATAAGGCCATATCTACTAATTGACAGTATTGTTGTGGGGAGATTTAGGAGCTGTGGATGTGGTTTATAAATATATTAAGCCAGGTGGTTATATAAGAGCTGCTTAGCAGGCATGAATATCTATTGAGTGCCTTTCAGGGGACAGTTGATTTCTCAGAAATCATCCTGAGAAGGGCTTCCCGTTACTTTTTCTGGAACAGACTTGCCACCTATAATATGGCTACTTACTTATAGAGTAATAATCTGTCCAGGTGCAAGGAAGCATAGCATCCACAGTATTGTGTGTGTGTGTGTGTGTGTGTGTGTAGATATTCCGATGTGGGGAAGAAGCACACTGCACTTTTCTGAAATGCTTATATTTAGAAAGGCCCTCAGATCCATGTCAGAAACTCCAACAATTTCAGCATAACATTTAATACAAGTCCCATCCTCCTCAACTCCTTATCTGTCCAGCAGCTCTACCAGTTGTCATTTCCTTGGTTGACTTTCTGTTAAGGTGGTCTGGGAGTTGGGGGCTTCCTTTTATAGCTCATCTCCTATCTCACTGTTAGAGGTATTTAAAGGCTGTGAGCAATAGTGCAGGGTTTGCCAACTCTCTCCCTGCCCAGGAATGGATGTGCATTAACGTTATCAAATGTTTAATCAGTGAGGCAGCTGTGTTTTGCTGAAAGGGCTCCAAACCACCTGATTTGTGTCTTCCCTATAAAATAAATTATAATGGTTCCTGTCAGGTGACACCTGCTAGAAGTCTTACAAAGCATTTTCTCTAAATGTGAAACAGTCCCTGTCTCTTTTTATAATCTCCGGACAAGCCTATCGGGTATTGTGTTGCATCTGCCAAGTTGATAAACAGCCCTACCCCTTACTCCCTGCATGTTTTCTGATTTTCTGATCCATCACTGCCTGACTCAGTTTGAATCCTGGCAGATGCTTAAATACCACCTAACCTCTAGCTTCAGTTCATTAGGAACTGGTCAGGTTCAGAGAGCAGCTGGACATGGTGTGGGTGTTCTCCGATGAAATGTCAAAGTAAAAACATTTGGGAATTCTCCATTTGACCCAAGTTGCTCTCCTGTCCTGGGGCTGCCTTGGACTACAGAGGAGGTGACAGCAATCAAGGCTTGCTTGGTTTGCTAGAAGTAAAAGCAATCACTTCAGAGCAACTCATTTATTTTAGATTGGGAGGTAAATTGTTGACTTGAATTTTTGATAATACTTTATACCTTGCTCCAGGGAAGTAAAGAAATTTATCTTCAGTCTTCCCTTTCCTTTTTGCTGTTCATTCATTGCCTGTACATGGGCATTAGGGATATGGCTGACCATTTCCTTAAGGCTGTAAATCAACATTTTTGGGGTAGGAAAAATATGGGTGCATATGTGTGTGTTTGCATATAAGTGTACACAGAACAAAACAACCTCATGAGATCAGGAAGAAATGTTCCCTCTGGTTGGTTTGTGACTTTCGTTTCCTTGACTTTGGCAAATTTGATGCTCACTGCTTTTGAATCCTGAATGTGACTAGGTCAGAGGGTGATGATGTAAGTGCTATTATATGTACACATATAGATCTGATATAAAGATATATATTAGATATTTATTTATTTATATATGTATATACAGACATGCAGGAAAGGGGTTAGAGATGACATATCCTGGAATTCATGATGTGGAAAGTTTTCTTATAATTATGTGAATGAACTGAATGCTTTTACTGATTCACTGTTGCATTCTGCATGCTTCTATCTGATTTCACTCTCACCCAACACATAACCACATACAGATGTATAACTGAAGGGAAAGCAAGAGCAAGCAGTGGGAAGTGCTTGTATGCCATTCAGTGAGTGAACATTGCTGTATTAGGCCATGCTCAGTGCACGTCATTGAGGTGGGAACTGTGCTGGGAAAAGCTGTTTTCTCAAAAGCAACTCTGCACTAAAGACCACATCACTCTCTATATAGTGTAACTCCTGGTTCCTAGGCAAGTAAAGTGCTCCCTGATTGCTTGGATCAGTCTCCACTGTGAGCAGAGAATGCATGGAAAGGAGTCAGGAGTCAGGGAGAGGATTGGGAAATGTTGGAGTAAGAACAGGGCAGCACCAGACCTCCCTCAAACTTCTTGATTTTACACAATCTACCTGCAGTTTTGAGTCTAGGTCACCTATTTAAACCTTCTTTCAAACAACAAACTTGTCATTAATACAGAATTCAAGTAATAACCAACTTTCTTGCCCTTCAAGTAACACACAGGAAAAACAACCAGAGTTTTTAAGCTGAAAGTAATTTCCTCATTCCCTTTCACTAAAAGGAACCAGCACACATTCTTGCCTGAATACAAGGTCATGCTTGATGAGTGAGATGCTAGTTTCTTTCACACATCTGAAAGTTTAACTTTGTGAAGTTGGAGAGACTTGAAAGGTAGCCTCCCGGGTGGCAACCATCTTGATTTCTTGTTTTCCCAGACCTCCACTTGAACGTGCTTTTTGCTTGTGAGTGAAGAGCAATGATGGATAACTGCCTATTGTCACCACGCTCTGTGGAGTGAGCTCAGGTTTTGTGGAGGAAATACTGAACTGACTTGAGGCTGTTGGATCACCTTTCCTTTTTATTCAGATGTGAGTTCTGCCCACTGGTTCCCTATGTCAAGAGGTATGTGCTCACAACAAAATCATAGAAGCACCAGTGATGGGATATACTGGAGACCAGAACACATATGGAGAAGTTCCCCACATATGCTTGCATGTATTTGTACATAGTGCCAACTTTGACATAGGATGGGTTCAGAATAATGGGGTGTGCTTTATTCACTTTTTCAACTGATTTTAAGGAAAGCATGACTTGGGGAAATGAAAAGTTCTCTACTTTTTAAAATCAAATTATTCTGCCTGGTTTTGTCCCCCTTGCTGGTTTTATTTTCTGCTGACATAGACCTGAGAAATCATAAAAGATGTCAAACAGAACTTGGGGGCATTGAATGAAAGAAATGAAAATATCCTATGTAATATTGAGTAAACTCAGGAAACCAAAATATTTGAATGACTGTCTTGAAGCTGATATAAACATACTGTAAGTATAGTTTTTAGTATACTCTTAAAAACTAGAAAGGATTCCAGATACAATTCTGAAGAGAGGAGAGACGTGGATGTTGCATGGGCCATAATCAAATCCTGGTCCCGGTACAAGTGGATATGGGTCTTGGAAACCTTCCTGGGGGTGCACTGAGAATGCAGATGCCTTTTCAAAGATCTCTAAGTTGGCCCAACCCAAGCAGAATTGATCAGAGTTAATTTAGTTCTATTGGGAATAATAATTTCTTCAAACATTAAAGCCCTTTATGATCACATTAGAAAATGCTTTAAAAAACTATGCCCTTACATTCTTATTAGGTGGCAAGTCCCACTGAGCACCTCTGCCAGATGATTTTTTTAAATCACACATCTAGGCTCTCTTGGCAGACATCTGTAGGTGAGCCCTTAGCATCAAAATATGTCAAAATGACAATCACAGCAAAACTTGCTCTCCTTCTTTGATGGTGATGGGACATGCATTGGAACAATACAGTTCAGTTTATATAGGCTTGCTGTTCTAGAAAAGCACTAATTTGATTTCAGTCATGTTTTCTACTTGCATGCTGGGGCAATATAAGAAAAAACAAAACAAAACCCAACTCTTGTCACCTCCCCACTCCCCTACCCCTAAGCCAATACCTGCCTAGTTGGCTTTTATCTCTGTCTGTCCCACGTAACCCTGTGGGTTTCAGTTAGTATACCCAGTAGGGGTGGGAAGATAGTCTTCTCTGTGTTGGAATGTTTTGCAGGGCTCAATTCAGGGCCTCTATGGATGCTTTCCATCAAACTCTCTTCCCTGCAAACAATTTCCCCAATTGTACATTTTATTAGTCAGGATCCCAGTAAGTCCAAGGTAGGTTGAAGGCCATAGCAATGCTACTTCTGTCTCTTGATGCCATTAGTTCACCTCTTGTACTTAAGAAGTAAAGCCCAGACTGAAGGTGATGCCCCTCTTCAAATAGATTCTATGAATATACTAGAGCTATCCCTGAAAAGATGCATTTGTACTTATATTTATATATATATATAGATGATTTATATATATATAAAATTTTTCTTTCCTGTATACAGGTATGTATTAATCTATAGATATGACAGGAGAGGTATAGTACAGTAACAGGCAAGATTTGTGTGTCATGTGTGTATATTTATAATATGTATATTTTATATGTATATATTTATATAAATAGCCTCTGTCCTTGTTGCATCATTAGAATGAATGTACCTCCGACCAGCGAGGAGTACCTGTCAGTGGTGAATGGAGAGTAGCCCCAAATTGACAGTTGTCTTTTTCCTTTAGATGTATCAGTAGGCCAGGGTGGAAGCAGCCTGTGACGTAAATGGGTCCGGTGCAGATCCTTCCCTCCTCAAATCTTCCAAGGAGGGGTACTTGACATCCAGGTGTGTGCCAACTGCCTCCTCTAAAGAGCTCAAACAGCCTAGAGCCCCAAGTGGGGAGGGACTGTCCATGCTTTTGGTTGTAGGTATGGCTTTTCCTGCTAGATGGAGACAGGACACATAAGAATTCTGTCTTCAAGGAGGACGCTGACCACAAGGAACACAAAGTAGAGGCCAAACATGATGAAGCCCAGCACTTTGTTCATCCTCCATTTGCAGAGGGCAATGGAAAGGATGACGAAGAGAAGCATGATGAAGAGGAGGACGATGGCGCAGAAGAGGCCGTTGCTGCTGACAGCTACTGGCTGAAATCTGTGAATGATGGTGTACAGGAGCCAGGGCAGTGGGAGCCTGTGAGGAAGAAAATCAGGGGCAAAGGAGAGATGGGTTGACTAAGGGGAACAGTCAGATATGTTAAAGAAAGCATACAACATAATTTCAGCTTACAATCTGTCCTCTGAAAAGGTGTTTTTTTAGGTTTACTGTGATTCAGGCCTGGTTGAGGAAGGAAATCACGTAAAAAAGTCAGGTGAATTTTACAAACCATTATCTATTTTTGACCAAATTAGGGAGAATTGAGAGAATCTGTTCTTTGAACAACAGTAAAGACATGACTACGAGGGGTGATTTCTAAATTTGATTTGAAGTTACTTTTCATTTCCTTCCCAGTTGAGGTTAAATCAGCCCTATAAAAGTAAACTGAAAGGTTTGTCCAGGGTGGAGGGAGAAGAAAATAAATAGAGATGAGAATGGAAATTAGTGTTGAAAATGGAAAAAACATTATTTTAAATGGAGACAGAGAATAGAAATGACTTAATCTCAAAGCCTGTGAAATTAAATGATGATCATGGGGACTGTGTTACAATATAGCAGTCTGAAGTTTATTCTGGGAAAGATATTGATAGTCTTTTGACCCCAAAAATGGTCTTTCTGAAGGATTTAAGGAGGACAATATATTCGTGGTATATTTTTTAAAATACTTTATTGTAAATTTTTATATCTGTTTCCTCTTTTTTTACTTGATTTTTAATATATGGTAACATCTTTTGTGGTGGTGATTCTGAAAGACATTGGGAAAGTATAATTTCTACATGTGTTGAATAGGACTCTGGGAGAGAAATATGGTTGGAAACACATGGCTCAAATGGTATGGGCATCTCCCAATGTCTTGGTTTAATCTAGTTGATTCTACACATTGAGCCCAGTGATGCAGTGTTGATTCTACACATTGAGCCCAGTGATGCAGTGTTGGTTGGGGAAATACTCATTTGGCTGAGCCTTCTGCATAGCTAATGGTTAAGGGAGGGTTCAGTTTTCATGTGGTCTTGGGGCCATGGAACAGGAGGTGACTTTTCATAATACAAAGTTTTCCAGAGCAAAAGCAAATAGCTTGCAGGGAAATAATGAAGGTAAGAAGACAGTGAGTTTACAAATCTGTGTCCTCTACTGGAAAGAGTCCGTGCACAGGCAGAACCTATGCATTATGAATTATGGAATTCCCAGAGCCTGCCATTGGTTCACCCCCCAAGTGGCCACTACGGCCGGCCGGCATGCTGCGTGAAGCCAGGAGCTAGGTACTTCCTCCTGGTCTCCCATGCGGGTGCAGGACCCAAGCACTTGGGCATCCTCCACTGCCCTCCCGGGCCACAGCAGAGAGCTGGACTGGAAGAGGAGTAGCTGGGACAGAATCCAGCGCCCCAACCGGGACTAGACCCTGGGGTGCCAGTGCCGCAGGTGGAGGATTAGCCAAGTGAGCTGCGGCGCCGGCCTCACTCTCTCTCACACCCATCCATCCACAATTATTGTGAAGTTGAGGTTGATAGCACTTCAAACAATTTAAAAAACTTTTTGTGGAGGAATAATATTTTCATACCTTATGATCTATCACTTGTATTGTCAGTGATCAAGCATAAGTAATAATTTAAAATGCAGAAGAAACTTTATTCACAACATAATTTTGTGTCCTTTTGGGTGGTAAAATATTAATCTCTTTTTAAAATTATTTTTATTATTTTTGACAGGCAGAGTGGACAGTGAGAGAGAGAGTCAGAGAGAAAGGTCTTCCTTTTTGCCGTTGGTTCACCCTCCAATGGCCTCCGCGGCCGGCGTGCTGCGGCCGGCGCACCATGCTGATCCGATGGCAGGAGCCAGGTGCTTCTCCTGGTCTCCCATGGGGTGCAGGGCCCAAGTTCTTGGGCCATCCTCCACTGCACTCCTGGGCCACAGCAGAGAGCTGGCCTGGAAGAGGGGCAACTGGGACAGAATCTGGCGCCCCGACCGGGACTAGAACCTGGTGTGCTGGCGCCGCAAGGTGGAGGATTAGCCTATTGAGCCATGGCGCCGGCCAGAAATCTCTTATAGTCTCTAGTAGAGAACTAGTTAAATAGTGAGCAAGTCAATGTAATGTTATAGAGGTGCTTAAAATGACAAGCTTATAATAATACAAGAAAAAACTCATAATTTTAAATTTTAAAATAAAGGTTACATATAAAATAGCAATATAATTTAAATCGTGGAAAATATATATGAACTAAAAAGGGGTGGTGGATTATTATTTATCTCTATTCCTTGTATGAATATTCTAAGTCCTTTACTGTGACTGTATACTAATCTTATGAGCAAAAAGAAAATGCTAGCAAAATTATAGAGAAACTTATACACTCATGTTACTAAAGACATCATTCTATACATTGTCAATGACATTGTAAATTGGTATAAACCCTTGGGAAAGAAGCTTTTGGTGAAGAAGTATACAAAATATATTAATATCCATTAAAATGCTTAAAATATTGTATCTATTAATACTGCTTGAAGTAATTTATTTTAATAAAATAATTAAAAGTTTTTTTTCTGCATAAAGGTGATTATCAAAACTCACAATAGCAGAAACTTGAAAAAATAAGATTCTAGTAAAGGATAATAGTTAAGCTGAAAAGCAATAGAATGGAAGACAAGAGCCATATAATGTTAGTTATGAGAACTATAAAAGTACTTAGAAGGATGGTTGATATGATTTACTAATAATTTATCAATAGATGCCTCTTTGTGCCAGACATATATGACTTTAGAATGGAAAAAATGAAAGGACTCCAAGAGGATAGAACTGGACTAGGATAGTTTTGTGAAATATTTGGAAGAAAAAATACAAATGAAATGTTTTTGAGTACTGTTGGGGAAGATTTTTTCTTTAAACCTTAATTTGTTGTTAATAATAAACACATACAACTTAAGAACAATGCACAAAATTCTTACAATTCTCTAGAGTACTTTTTTAAAAAATTGATAAATATGTCTAAACACTTTTTTCTTAGCCTGAGGATTTTGTTTTTTCACACTATAAACATTACCACCTGCCTTTTTATAAGAGATTAATCAAGAAAAATATTCCATAGGTATAATCAGGAGAACTAAGAAATACTGTTTACACTAGGACAACTTTCTTTAAAATATATACCTTTTAATACATTCATTCATCTCCATCCATTAATTCTACAAGTATCTGTCAAGACACTACTATGCCTGAGGCAATGTGCTAGGCTTTGGTGAGTTTTGCTTTTGAAGAGTTTGCAGTCTAGTGGGTAAACATAATAGAATATGATGTACAGAGAGAGGCTGCAAGAACATGAGCTCCCAAGTCAGGTCCAGCAGAATCAGGAAAGTCAGGATTTAAGGTGAGATTGGATGGATAAGTGAGAGCTTTCCAGGCAGAGAAGCAGGAAAGACTCTTCAGGGAGAGGGGCCTGCAAAGGAGGGATGTCCAGTGGGTGAGGACACCTCTGGGACTCACAGGAGGTTGGACAGTGGAAGCTCAGCATCAGGTGCTAAGCACCTACGGTGCAGTGGCCAGTACAGATTCTTTGCAGGACTCTCTGCTATCTCATTAGCTAGTTGTGTGAATTCTGTGCCCTTAAGTTTCCTTATCTGAAAGATGGGAATAAAAGGATTGCTGTGTGGCTTACGTGGATAAAAATGTATGTACAATGAACATGGTAGAATTGTAAGAAAACAAATAAATAGATTTTTGTCAGAAATATAAGAGAATAATATTGAAATATGAGAAAGTGGATTTATTGTACTGAATTTTCAAATTCCAGTGCCAAAGGCCTTTCTCAAAAGAGTTTTACACATTCATCACTTTCATAAGGTTTCTCTCCCATATGACTCATTGTACAAGTTATCCCAACATATATTGGAAGATTTACACAGAGAAAAAACCCTACCAATATAATGAATGTGAAAAATCCTTTTAGCAAAAGTCAGACTTCAGCACAAATGAAAGGGCTCACAGGTGAGGAAACATGTGTATTTAGGCAATTTTTTCACCATAAGTTACCTCCCACTAAGAACTCACACAGAACAAAAACTCTATGAAAAAATGGAAATTGAAAAACCTTTTACTATAAAGGCAAACATAAACAAACATCAGCAATACACATAAAGAAATTACTGTTAAAGTGTTGTGTATGTGGAAAAACCCTTTGCAAAGATCCTTTCTTGTGGGAACATAAGGGTTACTTCTTCTGTTCTATGTTCTCAGGGGACTTCTATTTGGAGCTATTTGCCAAGTTAGATGAAAAGACAGAAATGAATGTGCCCCTCCCTCATCTGACTTACTTTAGAGATTTTTCCTATTGAGATCTCCAGTTTATTTAACTATAAGAACAAATCTTCTCTTCTGACTTTCAGAAAACCAAGAATATTTTCACCAGCACAGATAAACAAATGATAATGCCAAGACAGCTGGCATTTTCCAAGGAAGGAGACAGCAGGATATTTGTGCTGGGCCTATCTTTGTCTCAATTTGCCTTAAAATCCAAATCTCAGCTGAGGAGTTCAGGATATTAATTATATTTAGAATATGGAGAAAAAATTGTGACACTACCAGAGTATTTCAATCCTGCCTGAATACTGAATATTCATAATAGGTAGTAAATACAGCTATATAAATTAAATTATCCTAGAATATTTCCTAAAACTTTCATTCTCTGTGTGTGTATATTTCCGCCTATCTAGGGATGATGTTTTTCATCAAGTTCTTGAAAATGAAAAACAGAGATGATGAGACTGAATGGTAACCCAGTCTTGACTTTTCCATTGGTATTGATTAATTTTGGGCTCGGAGATCCTGGTCATGTCTTTGTTGCTTCTACCAAAAAGATAGAGATGCAGGTTGTGTGCACCTTTGCAAACAATCTCTACTCACCCTACAGTGATGTCAAAAATGTTGCTTCCAACAGAACTGGACACGGCCATGTCCCCTAGCCCCTTCCGGGCCACAATGACACTGGTTATAAGATCAGGGATGGAGGTCCCAGCAGCCAAGATGGTCAAACCCATAATCTCTTCACTAATGCCGATTGTCTCACCAACCTAAATGTTACAGGGACAAGCATGAGTGTTCGAAGTGCAAAACCATGAAAAACACAAACATTTTAATGTGACTTTGAGAGCTCATTTGTGCTATGAAGAGTGCTGACAGCATAAAAATGAACAAACCACACTCATTGCCATAGAAGAGTTTATACTTTTATGATACCCAGATCCAGGAGATCAGAAACGTTCACATGAGGATTAAACAGATAATCTCAAATACAAAAGAGCTAAGGAGGGCTAGAGTGCAGCCTCTATATGATTTTTTTTTTCTATGACTGAGCCAGGGAAGCTGCAGAGTATAGTTATTAAACCTGGGGACTAACACCTGATAGTGGCATTAAGTCCTATGACAGATTCATTCTTCAACTTGTTTGTCTTTTTGGGATTTTTAAGATCTTTACGTATATTTTCAACAGAGGAGGTACAGAATTGAAGTTGTGAAAAGTTTTAAGATAATGCTTTCCATTTGGTTTCCAACAGCCTACCTGAATATGTTCAGTATTTTCTGAAAAAATTTGAAGGTCCAAAACAGCATAGAAGGATAAAGGTTTTAAGGAAATAGAATATATTTATTTAAAACAAGTTTTTAATTTATTTTAAAAGGAGATAGAGGGGGTAACACACACACACACACACACACAGAAAATTGATTGATTGATTTTCCATTTGTTGCTTCACTCCCCAAATGCCTGCAACAGCCAAGGATGGGGCTGGCTGAGTCCAGGAGCCAGGAACTCCATCCAGGACTCTTACGTGGGTGGCAGAGTTCCTACTAAAACCATTATCTGCTGTTTCCCAGATACATTATCAGGAAGCTGGGTTGGAAGTAGAGGTGGCACGGAGACCCAGGCACTCTGATATGGGATGTGGGCACCTGAAGCAGCAGCTTAACTGGCTGCACCTCCATGGCTACCCCAATAAGTTAATTTATAAATCTTCTTTGTGATTTATAAATAATATCTTGGTAACTACTAGCTTAAAATCATGGTTGGAGCAATTTTTATTTTTCTTTATGCCTGTTCCAGAGCCTACTGAGCTGATGAGTCATGTTCACTGTGTCTTTATGGCATGCAGATACGCAGATTCACTGCTTCCCATTAGTAACTAAGCTTCATACTAGAAGATCCTTGCCTTGGTCACTCTGCTGATCCTAATCTACAGAACATAGCCTAGTATATAGTGGTCCCTCAAAACCTATTTGCCAAATCAAAGTATATACTTAGGTGACTCCACTAGCATGTTTTCCTATTTTCCTAGAGAAAGGTAAATCAGAGTTTTGCCCAGGAGTACCCATTTGTGTAAAACATTCTCCTTGATGACTTATTTTTTGTTATACTTAGAGTGAAACATTGTCAAAGACTGTGCAGATGCTGCTGCTCTATATAAATTCCAATCTATTTAATACATTCTTAGTAATTTAAATTCTTGGAGTTCTAAAGCAGTGATTATTTTGAAAAACATGTGTATTTGGAGTTTGAATGACAGTATAGACAGAAGTGCAGAAGTTGAGAACAATGATAGTGTGGTTAGGAGTACTGACTTGGGACTCAGGCATCCCAGGGTGTGAATCCCAGTCTGCCACTCTAAGTGCAAGGTGGCCTTCTTCCCAGAGTATTAAGTTTTCCCATCTGTAGAAGTACGATAATGATATCCATTCAGGAGTTGTTTTGATGCTTATATGTGATCATGCATATAAAGTAAACATTACTGGGTCAAGAATGAAGTTCAATAAATAGACAGTATAACTCAGATTATCATTCACTTCCCTTTTCAATTTATAATACTGTAGCAGTCTGGGGTCTGGCCTCAGAGATAGAAGCTGGCTTTCTGGGGATAATTCACAATGTGGGAAACAAAGTAATAGTGAAGAATTTTCATTGTTATGTCAAATCTCTGATGAATCTGTGTGGCTCTAGAAATACTTTCACTGAAGGAGAAACCAGACTTCATATGCTCATTTTGAGTACTGCTATTGTGTGATTGTGCCCTGCAGAAGTTCATGTTGGAAACTTAATCTCCCAATTCATACATTCCTAGTATTTGAAAATGGGGCATTGCAAGGTAGTTACTAGTAGTAGGGCTCCAGGATGACATTTGTCACTTTGTAGCATGCTTGCTCTGTCGTTGTATGATGCCTTCTGTCATGTTACAAGGCAGCAAGAAGGTCCTCACTGGATACCAAGCAAGTGCTGGTGCCAAGCTCTTAGACTTTTCAACTTCTGGAACTGTGAGTCAAAGAAACTTCTATTCTTTATAAATTATCTACTCTGAAGTGATAACAATGGCAAATGGACTAAGACAAATATATTTCACTGAAATTGCCATTTGGTGAATCAGAGGAAAGATAATGGGCACATCTCTGATCAGATTGGGGGAGCATCTAGAGAAGTGCTAGAAAAAGACATCAATGTCTCCTGCGAGGAATTCCCTTCTTTTCTCATGAGAGTAAATGATGAGGCTACTCAGAGTCCAAATCCAGGGCTCCTGCTGATAATACATGATGTAATTCCTTGCCTTGGCTTAAGGAGGATCTCCAAAAATGTCATATTGGCTAGCTGAGTCACAAGGTTTTGACTCTTAGAATGAACTTCTAATATTAGATGCAGGATAGATTTTAACCACAGGCTTTCTTCATCAATGGAATTTTCTAAGATAATGATTCATGATGCAGGGGCCGGCGCTGTGGCATAGCGGATAAAGCTGCCGCCTGCAATGCCGGTATCCCATATGGGCGCTGGTTCGAAACCTGGCTGCTCCACTTCCATTCCAGCTCTTTGCTATGGCCTGGGAAAGCAGTGGAAGATGGACCAAGTCCTTGGGCCCCTGCACCTATGTCAGAAACCCAGAAGAAACTCTGGGCTCCTGGCTTCGGATTGGCACAGCTCTGGCCATTGTGTCCAACTGGGGAGTGAATCAGCAGATGGAAGATCTCTCTCTCTCTCTCTGCCTCTCCTCTCTCTGCGTAGCTTTAACTTTCAAATAAACAAATAAATCTTTAAAAAAAGATTTATGATGCAAAAACAATGAAAAAGAAAAGCCAGAAACAGAAACAAAAGCTAAGAGTAAGCTGCATAAAGTATTTTATGTGAAGAGCATCTCTGTAGGTAAAAGGAAAAAGAAACTTATTGAAAAGTAAGGCTTCTGTTTAAGCACATTATACTTCTTGGCCTTTTAAAATTATTATTGTTGCTGGCATTAGATTTATATTTCTTTTCTGTAAGTGGATGAAAAAGAAACAGGATAATAGAATCAAGATAAGAAAAAATATGGGAATTTGGCCTATTTGTTGCTTGGAACACCTGCATCCCATGTTGGAGTGCCTGGGTTCAAGTCCTAGCTCCAATCCTGATTGCAGCTTTCTGCTAATGTGCACCCTGGGCAGCAGAGGGTGATAGCTTAGGTGGTTGGATCCCTGTCACTCAAGTGGGAAACCCAGGTTGAGTTGTAGGCTCCTGGCTTATAGTTTTGGCCTGGCCCAGCCCTGGCTGTTGCTGTTGTAAGCATTTGAGGAAGGAATCAGTGGATGGGAGGTCCTTGTGTTTCTGCCTTTCAAATAAATCAAATAAGATAAATAAAAAGAAAGAAAAAAATGAAATCCTATAGAATGATGTTTTATAGGATGGTTAAAGAGAACATCTAGAAAATACATTATAGCAAGTGAAAAAATTACTTTTTTTCTTCACCAGTACATGAATAATAAAAAGTGATTATTAGAAAAGCCATTATATGTTATAAAAAATCCTTTCAGGCTGGGGATCTGGAGGCTCAGAAGCAGCCTACTTCCTGCTGCAATTTCTGCCAGGTGTTGGCAGCAAACGCCTCTGTAGAAATAATGACCCCTGGGCAAAGAGAACTTCCTCAGGGAGCCAACAATTTTTGGAAATATCCAGGAAGAGTTATCTGAAGTCCAATGTCAGTAAAATATCTCCAACAGGCAGAATATGAAGTATCTTGTAGGAAGAATGCTGAATATGTCAGTCAACATTTCCAGTGGAGTTTGCTAGTGCCATATATAAGTTAATTTTACATACAGCAAAATTCACCCACACTTTAAAAATGGATAAAGTTCTGCAATTTTTCATCATTGTATACAGTCGTGCTTCTCTCTGTTCTCATCAACACATGGTATTATCTGTCATTTTTTAGCTAACCTTGTGGTTGTGAAGTGGTATCATGATTATTTTTAAATGAGTTCACTGCATTACAATTCATATATCATGAAATTCACATATCATGAAATTCAACTATGCAAAGTGTATTTGTACAATTCAGTGATATTCTAAAATGTTTATTTATTTATTTGAAAGGCAGAGTGACAGAGAGACAGAGATCTTCCATCTGCTGGTTCATTCCCCAAATTGCCACAATTGGCTGGGGCTGTTATAGGCTGAAGCTCAGAGCCCGGAACTCCCTCCTGGGCTCCCAGTGGGTGACAGGGGCCCAAGCAGCTTCTTCTATATGGCTGTCCAAGTGCTATGCTGAGTTGACTCCATGTCACAGGGAAAGGCTGGAGACCAGAGAAGGTTAAGTAGAGTAAGTTCCTTTAATCTTGCGATGTGTAATTTGTTTGCATCACATCTAATATCGTGACAGTTTCAGAAAGGGAACACATTGATTAACCACCTGACAAATAAGACCAGATAAAAACCTGACAGTCACTATGAAAGTCTTACCTGGTGTGCCCACCAGACCATCAAGTAAGAAAAGACTGCAATCCAGGTGATGGAGCCAAAGAAAGTGATTGGAAAGAACTTCCTTGATGACTGAAAAACAACCAGGAAGAGGCAAGTGTCAATGTCATTAATTGAAGTGGATTTGACAGTTCAAAACCATCACCACCAATGCAGTCCTTTCTCCCTGTTTCTTGCATCTTCATAGGATTAAAAACCAAAAGACCACACTTATCCCTGATCAAACTAGGATAATAAAGTTCTCTTTTGGAAACGTGAACTTGGTTGGAGCTGAATGATCACAATGCTGGTTTCTGGGATGGAAATATCTTTAAAGAGAATATCTGTTAGTTCCTGCAGTTGGATGTTCAGATTCCCTGTTTCTGCCTATTCTAAAGCTGGATTTCTGTCTTCCCTATGCTGTATTAACTACTCCATATTGTCTGTTCATCCCTTTCTCCCTCCCTGCCTTCCCTCCTCCTCCTTCTGTCTTTTTCTTTCTCTCTCTCTCCTCTTCCTCCCCTCCCTCCTCCTCCTCCTCCTCCTCCTCCTCCTCCTCCTCATCCTCCTTCTTCTTCTTCTTCTTCTTTTTTTCTCTCTCTCTTGCTTCAAAGTTCATAAGAATCAGTTTCTACTGCTTTCAAACTATGTATTGCCATAATCATATGCCAGAAAACCTATGGGAGTAATTACATTGAACAGAAATGGGAAGGATTAGGTTTTAAAAGACTGGTTCATCTTACAGTTCCATGAATTATCAGGAAAGCCACCATGGCAGTTTCTAGAGATTCCTGAAGATGGACTGTATCCAGAACATTTGAACCACACATACTAACTGGAGTCAACAGAAACAGAGATACCTGATTTTGCTGTTTGCCACTAGGAGGGCAGGCCATACACTGTTCTTGGTAATGTTTTTTTCCCCTGTTCTCCCCCTGAAACTATATTATGTCAGTGTTCTTCTAAGCACTGGACTTTGTACAATCTCAGGCTTATAATGTGAGTACTTTGTTTCCTGGTAACATCAGTCAAAAATCAGACACTCTAAATGCAATGTTTCTTAACTGACCCCACTACAGGGAACTCTAGGCTTGCACTGGAGTGGTGTTCTGATGATGTCCTATGTGGAAAACTTGGAGTCCTTTAAAACATGCTCAGACAGCAGAATGCTAGCAGAAAGCCTCTCACCTGTAATTGCCAAACACTTTTTATTTCAAAAGCTTTCCACATTGAGAAACATTCCTACTTTTTGCTTTGATAATGCCATCCAATTTTGTCTGGAGAAATGATTCCTAGAGTTGACTTCGATGGAAGCAATCTCTATTGTCTGAAAGGCTGACCTTGGGCAGTCATGTAGAACACTTTGTGCAGTGGCTTTTGAAGGCTTTATTTAAAGGAAAAGATAAGGTTGGTCACAGTAATATTTTGAATATCTATTGTATAATGATGAACATAGTCTCTGTTGTTCTGAACTAGCCTATTTTCCCCTTTGCTGTTTTCCACAAATATTTTTTATCATAATTCACATGATTCTTAAACTTCATAAGAACTTAATCATTTCTCTCTTTAAATGACTGCTGCTTTTTGGGGGCTATTCATTAGTTGGAATGTCTGGAAGTAAAAGCAGGCTTGATTAAGTTGGAAGAGGGTATTAGACCACAGTTAATAGCCAAAACCTTACTCTCCAATGTTTTCATACTCTTTTTCCTTTTTTTTTTTAACAAGGAAAATATTTTGGACAAGGACTCAGACTCCTCCTAGGGATCTGAGCATTTTAATATGTGATGGGGAAAAAAGGCAGTTAGTTTTTCAAAGTGGAGATTGAGACCTTCACTTCTGAAAGCAACTTTCTTTGAAGCTGGGAGTTCAGCTGAATTCTGGAGGCCAGATATCCTGAGCCAGTACTAGCAGATCAAGTTTTTCTGGGCAAGACATTTGGCTGATTAGAGTTCCCATTCTTTTCTGCTGGTCATTAGTCACTGTTTCAGGATCCCAACTATGCAAATGGTTTCACATCTCATGGACATGATCAGGTACAGGGAAGAGAAGGGCTTCTCTTGCCATGTGGGGCCACTTGTAATATGAACAGCAGCCAATACTTGACTTTAGTTTCGAATCAGAGGAATGGGGAGTTTTCTCCACATTTTGTTGTGTGGTGTGTGTGCTGGATGTCCTAAGAGAGTCCTCATTTCATATACTGCTAGGTCATTCACTAAATGTGTAATAATTATTTTGCTTTTGTACCTTTGCATGTCTATTTTTTGAAATGAGTTCACAAGTCAGAATCAGATAATTTTAATATATTCATCACCTGAAAAATACCATCATTGAGCTATGGAATGTTCCCAGTCAAAATATAGGAAGCAGAATATCAGATGAAGGATTGAAAGGAACTGAACTGAATTCAGCCATATTAGTGAAAACCTCTGTAATTCAATATTTGAGGCTCATGATTCTTAATCAAGAAGCCAATTACCAATAAGAATAGCAATATGTACCTAATATTATATTAGAGGCTCAATGAAAAATGTTAAAAATAATTTTTCTTTGTGAATATTCAGTTTTAATCATAAACTGTGGACAAGTAAAGCCTGGTCACCAACTCTGTACCCAGATCTTAAATTAGAGATGAAATTCAAACTTGGGTCTACTGGACTGTATGTATGTGATCCTAACATCCAGGTTACATTTCTTTCCTAAATAGAAACGGTGTCAATAATGCTTAGAATATACTTAGCCACAGACATAAAGATCATCATGATCATAATACTAGGCTGTGCTCTGAATGTCAGAAAATAAAAAAGCATCAGGGAAGTAGAGACTAGGATTCCAGCTGTATCTCCATCTGTCTCACCCAGTCTCCCATATTGTTCCTGCTTTGGAAGTACCATCCATTCATTTATCAGCCATTTGGTTAAGTGTTTCCTTGTCAGAATACTTTGCCATTCCCAATCTCATAACCTGGGTAACTCCTTATTTTATTTTATTTTATTTTATTTTCTAGGCTATTCACCTTATTTGGATTCCATAGATACATTCCAAATATTATTGCCCCATTGCTCCTGTACAGTTATTTAGCTAGCATTCTCATTGGAGGGAAGAAAATAGCACCAAAGCCAAGGTCTGATATGTCAATTTATGGTTAGTAATGGCGGCTCATCCTGACATCTATGGAGATAGGAGTCATACCAATTAGCATATATGTGAATTGTGTCCAAGTGCTGTCCATTTTGTTCCCAATGAAATGGATTACTTATATAGCTGACAGCTAATATTTTCATTGGAAATTTTTAGTATATATGAATAATGCTGGTTTGGTTTGAGAAAAGTTAGTAGATATCAGCTGGTTGTACATATTGCCATATTATTGATCCAAATTCAAAAAATAATTCACCCATCACTTATACTGTTAAAGTTTCTTGAAGTATAAGTAATTAACAAAGTTTCAAAGAACAATCATATTAAAGTAAGTGTGGTCTCTGGGTTATCATGACTAGTATTAAGTCTCTGATTTTAAATGACCAGCGATTTTCCCCTAAACAAATTATTTCGATTCTGATTTCTTTATCAGAAAGATGGAGAAATATCAATATCTAGTTACTCTGAGTAAAGATTTCATACATATAAAATGTCTAGCAAAGTTCCTGGCACTTAGTAAATGCTCAGATGATAATCATTGATTTCTAGACACTATTGTATTTATTTTTGAAATACTGTCTTTTGCAACAAAATGGATGCAACTGGAAACCATTAGGCTTAGCAAAATAAGCCAGTCTCAAAAAGGCATATCATGTATTTTCTCTGATATGCGGCAGTTAATGTAGAAAACAAAACAATGTCTAGGAATAAAATTTTCATTTGTGATATGATTATTTTAGCCCTTGTTTATACTCCTGTGAAACTGTGGTCTTCCTACTTTTTACTTGTTGAATATTATGGTTAGTGGTGATTTAAGTCCATGATTATAGAGGGATTGAAATTATGTCCTTGCAAAAATTAAAGAAAAAAAAAGGAAGGAAGGGGTGGGATTGAGGAAGGGAGGGAAGTAATGTTATCATCTTAGAAATGTACCTGTGAAATACATGAAGTCTGTTCTCTTTATATTAATACAATTTATAAAGAGAGAATTAGGTTGTGAAGGTGGAGCCCTCATGAAAGGGCCTAATGCTTTTGTAAGAACAAATTGCAGAGTTTACCCCTTTCTCTCTGCTTCCTGCTATGTAAGGACACAACAATAAGATGGCCATTGGCAAATCAGGAACAGGACCCTCATGAGACACTGGATCAGACATGTGATCTTGGACTTCCCAACTCTGAAACAGCCTCATGAGAGAAGATAAATTCTGGGTTTTTATTTCATTTATTATTTTCAATTTCATCAAAAACATGTTTGCCACTAAGGTTTACGTTTTAGTTCTTTACTTTTAAAACATTATGCTATTAATTTAAGAAAGTTATAATGTAAAGCTCATATTGCTGATATGAGCTGAAAGTATGCATGATCTAATAAACCTTGCCATATAATTCACATTTAAATGAAGTGGAAATAAAAAAAAGTGAAAGTACTATTTACTCTGAAGCTGGTAGTATACAGTAAAAACAAATAAAAAAACAAAAAAAAAAACATGTTTTACCTTTAGTTATTGTCAAGGTTTGGGTTGCTCACTTCATGAGTAAATCAAAACCCACCAAAGAGGCCCTAAGGAGTAGCAGATATCTATTAATTTATCATTTTCTCCTCTATTCTCTTCCTGAATATTCTTTCAAGAGGCTTTTGTGGAGGAACATGAGGTCTATGATAGTGCTGCAAAAATGGCCATAGTACTTTACTGCTTCTCCCATCAAGAGGTGAGGTCTTGTTTCCCACTCTTTTCATCTAGTCTGGCCTTATGACTTGCTTTGACCAGTAGAATGGGGCAGAAGTGGCAGCATGCAAATACTTTTTTAAAATGGAAAAATAGAATTAAAATATGAATTTATTTTGGTGCAAAAATTTTTGAAATCTATGCAGTTTTTTTCTCAACACATTTTATATAACTTTTTAAAATATTTAAGTTATACAAATTTCATATATTTCACATATACAGATTTAG